AACTAGTATAGGTAACTATTCAGGCCTACTCCCTAAGGACCCCCAGAAGATGAGCCCGCTGACTCTGGCGGCAAGCGCGGTGCAAAGAGGGTCGCGGCCCCCGACCTCTGCGATCACGGCGGTGGTGGATTCGGGCTGCTGAGCGTTTAGTCGTTTAGGAGTTGAGGACTTTGCAGAGCTTTTGGTTCGGAGGGTGCGGGGTTTCGCTATGTCAGGATGTGCTGTCCAGGTTTAGGATTTCGGGGCTTGGCTTGGGACTTTCGGCTTACCGACCGTATAGAGACTATGAGGGCTCGCGAACCCAGGCGCAAGTGGCGGCAGCAGCTCCGAAAGTATCTGCCAGATTCGCTGAGCCGAGCACTCGAGATCCAAACATCCTAGCGAAGGTTCCAGAGGCTCCGAGTTTCACTATGGTTTAGGTTTCAAGGCTTTTCAGGGTTTAGGATGTAGGTTACAGTTTCACCACATCAAAGAAAGTCAGCAACTCGGTCGTATCCATCGTAGGCAGCAAGACAATGGTAGGCAGGTACAACGAACATGACATGACAGAGTTGAACACGCTAGTTTGCATGTCGGGTATGTAGCCGCGTGTATGTATGTATGTGTGTATGTNNTATATATATATACACATCTACAGAAACATTTAAAACTGCAGGTTTGATGAAGACATAGGGACAGATCATGCCCAAAGATTTGCAAGAGGCTCTTGAGGTGGATCACTCTCTAGTATATCGCCACACCGGACAGACGGAAGCGCCAAATTAGCCAAGGAGCCCATGAAACCCGGCTCTCGGACCTTCGTCGCGGATTGTGCTTAGGAAAGGCTTCTGAGCTCTTGCATGTCGAACACAAAGCTTCACATGCCTGAGACTCAGACCCCGAAAAGGTAGTGGAAGGTGCTCTCTTGGCGGAACACATCCTGGAAACAGCAGAGCATCTCTGAGACTTCAGTTCTGGTCTGCTCGCTCTCTCTCTCTCTCTCTTCACCTCTCGCTTCGATCTAGAATCTAGAAGGGATAACAAGAGGCTGGTGCTGGTGCGTCTAATGGTACTTGCTGTCACTACGAACAGAAAAGTTCGATGTTGCTTCTTACTCCTAAGTCTATCAGGACTCCCTTAATTTTTCACTCACTCGGCCTCTGTCGAAGTCTTACCTTCATTAACAGTGCAAGACATTACAAGCCACAGTTACACATGACCGTGTGACATCCCAGAAGTTTGGTTTTTCCCTAGGGCCCAAAGAGAGGCCGAAGTTGAGATCGACCCACCAGCATCGGCTCAGTCTAACAAACATCAAGCCCGCAAGCCTCGAAGGACAAACTCTTAATCCCCCTACAAGCCTTAATCTTAGAACCCTAAACCCTAAACCNNACCCTAAACCCCTATAGATCCCTTTACAGGGAACCCTTAGACCCCTAAACCCCTGTAGATCCCCCCTATAAACCTGGGCCAGTCTACCCCAAGAACCCGAAGCCAGGGAAGCCACAGGGCCTCATGGTCGGTGTCGTGTCTAAGAGGGTCGCCCCCTCCGGCAAACAGGAGAACCTGAAGCCGTGGGCAAGTTGCGTGGGACTCACGAGGTTTCTACGGGGTTTCGCAGTTTACGACTGTTGAGAGCTCAGAGCACAGACGGACATACTCATACGAGCCCGAAACCCTACCACAGCCACCACCGTCACCCTGATCATCCTTAGAATCCTTTGCTTTCCCGCATATACCTTTCAACCCTTACGTAGGTTTTATAGGGTTTACGGGTTCAGGGTCGCAAAGCTCAGATGCGCTAGCCAGGCCCTTCCGCGAAACCTGAGGAATCTTGAACACACCATGCAAGTATCCAAACAAAAAGGAGCGACAAGATAGAAACAAAAACAGGCCGGAACCCTCTCAAACCCCGCACTGACTTTTGGAGCCTGAGAACCTTTGCATTTCTTTTGGGCTCTACCGGGGTCCGTCGCTTTCTTCACCGGCTTGAGCCCTCGCCGCAAACTGAGGAGCCGAGCTCTGGGCTTCGCGTTTTTTTTTGTTTTTTGGGGGGGGCT